CATCCATTAATATACAAAGAAGAGTGAAGATTTCAAATGACATCCTTTCTACTTCTAACAAATAAAGATAAGAAACTACTAATAAATCCTTTTAGGACAAGCTGTCTGCAATAAACTGATACAATGCATTTGGGGAAACTGCATCTGCTACTGCCTGAGACCTTACCTGAGAGATAAAAACAACATCAGAATTTCGACCATTTGGGACAGTTGTAGTCATTTGAATGAAAGGCCGTTTGGGGTGCTATGGTCTTCAAAAAGTTAAACCATAAAATTCAATTCAACAGCAATATCACAAAATATTCAAAAGAGCACATCTTTAGAATTTCTGATACACAGTTGTGCAGGCAAGCCTCCACATTTATTCAGCGTCAGGTACCTCACACGCTGGAGGTAAAACTTTTTTCTCCGTACAATGTTGACATTGTTCACTTCAAAATCATCGAATTTGTTAATCTAAAACTCTTAAATGCTTTACAAAATATGAAATAGGTAATAAAACAAATTCCAAATTTAGGTTTCCAGATGCCCGTATCCGGGCAGAAACGTATGTTATTCAAAATTTGCTGGCTCTAGGTACCATTGTTTTATCACAATGCGAGAAACATATACACTTATGCAGATTCTTCATTATTTATTTTCTTTATATATAATATGAAGCTCTAATATTTGGTGGCAACAATTTAAAAAAGGATTCGCCATTTATAGTGAATACACACAAGATGCCAAAATGAAATTAATAGCCCTTCTGGGCAAATTACACCTTTGGGGTTAGAAAAAATAGAAGTTTCAAATACTTAGTACATTACGCCCAAAGGGAACTTTTTTAATGTTTTGTGGGTTACTTTTATTTATTAAATATCATGTTCTTTGCACCTAAACCATAAAATTCAGTTCAACAGCAATATCGCAAAATAATTTTAAAATGAGTATATCTTTAGAATTTCTTATGCACAGCACTGGAGATAAAAATATTTTTTCCTGTTTCGTACAGTGTTGCAATTGCTCACTTTGAAATCTTTCAGTTTGTTAATCAAAAATTCGTTAAAAGTTTTACAAAATATAAAATAGATAATAAAAGAAATTCCAAATTTGGGTTTCCAGATGCCCATATCCAGGCGGAAATGTATGTTATTCTAGATACTATCGTTTTGTCACAATGAGAAAAACATGCATAAATTTATGAAGATTCTTCATTATTTAATTTCTTTAAATATAGTACAGGGCTGTAATATTTGGTGGCAACAGTTTGAAAAGTGAACAGACATTAAAGTTTTTTATGTAAAATGCCAAAATAAAATTAATAGCCCTTCTGGGCTAAAAACACTCTTTGGGCTAAAAACACTTACTTAGCATAACAAACCTCTGTTCTTGATGAATTTAATTTATTTAGCTACTGAGTACTGTTCTGTTATCAGGACCGGATTCAGATATCATCAAAAGCTGGCAATTTGGTTAAAAATAATCATCAAAATATTTACATTAAGTTCGAGAAAAATAACAGATATTTGACAAATTACAAATTTTTTAATGCAAATTAAACAACTTGCCAAAGTAGTCGCAAAAAAAAAGAATGGTAGGCAATTAACTCTTAGATTACTAACGGGACATATATGTGCTACTAAAGTTTAAAAATTACTGCTGAGTTAAAAGGTACTTTGAATCTCCAGAATGTTAGCAATCATCTTCCAACAGTTGGAAAATCTAGATGCCGCTGTACTCGTTAGACACAAATGAACATAGGGAAAAGAACAAATATGAGTTGCCCAAAGCGTACTGCTGGGTTATGCAAAGATTGCTTTTTGCCCTGTACCATACGATATAACCTATTTCATACAATAAAATTTTCCAGAATGTTAGGTATGCTTATATTAAGACAATCACTAAGTGTGGGACATATGTATCCCACCATTAACTGCAGCTGGGGCTTAAAAACCACTTGTCAAAAAATCTCAAATGCTAAATTTACCTTATTTGTGATATACAGTACAGTCTTTAATACGGACTCGTCGGGACTTTGGCAATTCCGGATTAGGGATTTTTCCGGATTATAGATCATCAATTTAAATCTGGTAAGATGGCATGCAGAAATTATAAAATTAAAAATGTGAAACCGTAATTTATGAAATAAAGAGCAATTATGATCTAAAGGGTATCAAAATTTACAAAAAAAAAGGCTTAATATTTATTTTGTTCACATTACTAAACATTGCTAAACGCATGCATAAAGCATACATTATGAATAGTCAAAATTAGAAAATTGCAACCAGAAAACTATTTGATGTGTATATTTATAATGACGAGGAATTTTCATATCAAAGACGGAGTACATCGAGATGAAATACTACATTTAGTAAGGAATTATAAGCCGAATAAAATAAAAACATCTGCCCTGAAGATAAGGATAGCACTGACGGATCAACTTCCAGTTCATTGCGCGGCATTCATTTGAAATGAAATTAAAATGAATTGAAAAAATTAATGACAAGCTGAGTTACTATTTTTATTCACGAGCTGTATACATGAGTAAATAGTTATTTTCTATTTTATTGACATATTAATACATAAACATAAGGATGGATGTGATATTTGCCATTAGCAATTAAACTGATTCATTTAGTTACAAATCTCACGGGCAAATTTATGTACGTAATAATAGCAGCAAGAACTCCCTAAAATTGATACCATTCTTAGGAAGCGAGCAGGAAAAGGAGCAATTACTGATCAAGCAACGTGATAAGGAAATACATATTTGATAATAAACAGTTTTTAGAATTAAGAACTTTTTTAGAAGTAGATAATCCTAATGTTTCACTAACAGAAAGACTGTGGAATGATCTTGCAGAATTGGAAACTCTTCTTTCTACAACTTATATAGCCACAAAAAAATATGCAATCTGAAGAATTGACAGGAGGGAAGAATGGGATGTTTGTTCTTTCTGAAATAGAGGGTTTATTGCAGAAGGAATCATTTCTTCAATAAAGAAAAGAGAAACTAGTTTGCTAGACAATGACATCTTGCTGGGTTCAATATATGTAGATCCGAAACACAGTCAAAAGTCGTTAATTTGTACACCCATAATCCAGACCTCAAAGCTACAAACTTTCTGCGCATGCGTTGTATTGACGCATGCTCGTAAGACCTTTACGGCTGAGAATACGCGTGTGCGCATGCGCAAAATGAGTTTACGCATGCGCGTTTAATGTACAGTATAAGCTAAGCTAAAATTATCTAATTCAGTCAATGTTGCAGATTGCGTTGTTCCTTAATCTTCGAATTAGATCCGGCTTATTAAAGCGAAAGTATGTTTCGAAGTCCATTAAACAAAAAGTGGAATTGCAGCAAAAATGGATAAAGGCATATCCTTTGTTTATCTAACCATTCCGAAATCTGAAATCTGTTTATTAATTTCACGCTGCTCTGCAGCGGGGAGGGGGGAACACCGCGCAATGAATTGAAAGTTGATTTGTCAGCACTATCCTTATCTTCAGGGCAGATGTTTTTATTTTATTTGGCTTATAATTCCTTACTAAATGCAGTATTTCATCTCAATGTACTCCGTCTTTGATATGATTTAAATCAAATTCCTCGTCATTATAATTCGCTTCCGATAGCGAAGAAAGTGACACAGAGATTATTGAAAACGAAAACATTTTGATTGACAAATTAGTTAGTATTCTCGACACAGCAATTATAGGACTTGAACAGCGGAACTTTGTAACTGAACAAGAAATTATGTCTGTTTATAGAATTAGAGAGAAAGTATTATCACATAAAAAACGAAGCAACTTAAACAATTTACATTGAAAGAAATGTTTAATAAAGTAAACAAATAAATATTAAGCATTATTATTTTTTTTTTTTTTTTTTGTAAATTTTGATACCCTTTAGATCATAATTGTTCTTTATTTCATAAATTACGGTTTCATGTTTTTAATTTTATAATTTCTGCATGCCATCTTACCAGATTTAAACTGATGATCTATAATCCGGAAAAATCGATAATCCGGAATCACCAAAGTCCCGATTAACAACTTTTGACTGTACCGAATTTTCTTGGATGACGAACAAATTAAAAAAGGCAAAGAAAGTCCTCTATGAACGTTCATTAAGAATGAAATTATTCTCAGAACAACTGGAGAATTTGAATCAGGGCAGTCAAACTGCAGACATTGCAATTGAGTCTCTATCATCCTCTTCTAGTGATAAATCAGATTTTAAGAAATATTTTTGGATAATATTGAAAAGGCTAAGGCAAAGCGAATGAAAATAAAGAACCAAGAGCCTTTAGATATAAAAATGAAAAAATACAAACAAGATTTCTACACGACCTTTAAAGAAATAGAGAAATATGATTGTGCTTGCAAGACAGCTCTTTTAGAACTCATAAAAACCCGCCCTGAAAAGTTAAAATAAGTCATATATATATATATATATATATATGAGGGATTTGGAGTCGGAGTCATTAAAATTCCAGGAGTCGGAGTCGATCATTTTCCCTAACGACTCTACAGCCCTGGTAATATGTCAAGTGAGTAAATTCAAGTACATTTACACATGTGTGTGATATGCACATGAGTGGATTGGCTACTGCTGCATGTATAGTCATATCAATGCCAAGAAAACGTGACAGTTCTGCCAAATGTTGAAACCTAATGTGCAGAAAATCAAAAAGTATGAAGAAAAATGTAAACATGTATAATTTGCACATATTTTTATATTAAAAAAATATGTATAGTCAACTTACTATTTTCAATCAAGTTTGATTTTATTTTTGATGATTAAATCATCAAACTATTTCAGACTTTTTTTAATTAGATATACTATATATACAATTAAAACTTCAGAACTTCCCTAAAATCAAAAATATATAATATAGTAAATGTATAATAGTGTTAGCAATACAAATCAGCTAAAATTTTATAAGATTTAAAATCAAACATTTAAAATATTTAAATAATTATTTTAATTTAACTGCATTTTATAATTATTCACTTACCTTTATTTATATTAGTCATTAAATGACAATCTTTTTTGGTACGTGGTCCAATAACATTATCATTTTCATCAACAGCAATGCACATTTCATCCAAAAGCCTCACTTGCACGGGATCAAAATTGGACAAATTTTCCTTTACTCCAACAGAGCTTTGCACAAAACGACAGCTTATCTTTTGGTTACTGACGCTTACATTATTCAAACTACATCTTATAAACCTAAAAATAAATGTCGAAACATTTATAATAAACTGATTACATTTATAATACATTATAATGAAACATTTATAATAAACATTGTTCCAGTCATTTTAATTTCCTGAAAATATTTTACAAAATGTTCACTCATTTAAAAATAAATCTATATTAGTTCAACATTATATTGTAATGAGAATAGCGAGTTAACTGTAGGAAATGTCTACAACATAATTTCCCATGCTTTTTTTGAATCACCATTGCCATTTTGAGAAATTACTTTTCTCAATGACTTTTCCGAATTTGTTTAGGATCCTTCCCCTCTTTCAACAATATCATAATAGGTGTCTTTTGACATGATCTGTGGATACCAACTGAAAGCAGAAAAAAATTTCTAAGTCTTTATGCATTTCACCAAATTTTAAATTAACACTCATCCACCAATGTGAATAAATGCTCATAGTTACGTCTCTTTACACAGTGGAAAGAAAATTAAAATAAAAATGATGTCAGAAGTAAAGGTAAACTTAGGTGAAATTACTGCATTACATTTTTTAAACGGGTGTGGGAGCACCGAGTGCAGAAACCGAAGCAAGTGGATCCATAGAGGGAATTTGGAAGTCAAGTAATATTAAATTATTCATTTTTATTTCAACTGACATTTGTGGCCAACAATTCACATGGCACTCTAATTGTGACTATTTTCCAGAACATTTACACTTTGACACTGTTGTGAAAGGAAGAGAGCACAGCGAAATTGCATCCAAGCAGCACAAAAAGTAAAGCTAAAAGTGTGCATTGATCCATTCTGGAAGATCACCAAGAGGAAGGTTTTGGTTTATATCAGAAAAGTTCCAGTTCTAAAAATTTTGAGTTCTAAGTTCCTAATTAGCTACGTCATCAGCATTATGCAAGCCATGAGACATAGATTTATCTAAAAAGGTACAACTCTGATATACGCCCTAATTTCACCAAATGTGGCGATATGTGTTCTGCGCTGGTTTTTTGCGCGATTGCGTGTTGTATGGCAACCCTATTGACGTGAAAAATCTTTCGGTGGAGTTCGTTGGTTCGCGTCATGCTCTGTGTCTGAGAAGCTAGGGGGAAAAGATAAAATGGTGAAAGCTGTTGAATTGAAGTTCGGCAAAAGGAAATATTGTCGTGGCCATCCTGTTGAGGGGTAGTGGGTATTTGAAGGTGTGGAAAGAGGGTCTGGGAGATTTATTTTAGTGGCTGTGCATGATAGAAGTAGGGATTTGTGATTATTTGTTATTTTATTTATTTGTGAAGCATAGAATGAATTTTCTGGATAGTGTGTCTGGCTGTCATATAAATATGATAGTGATTACGTGGCAGCATGTTAAAAGCGGTATGAAATTGGTATTTCTGCTGTTCGAGAAAGCATTAATTCATGGTAAGTACATTTTATTTTATTCTTGTTCTTATTTTGTAGAATGTTATGTTCATTGTTTTCTTAGTATGAATTTCTATTTTTTTTTTTTTTTTTTTTTTTGAATTGTTTGACATTTATTTTAATTATTTTGTTGATTAGTGCGTACCGTCTAAATTGTGCAATTCGTAGATATTTTTTAAAGTTGAAACAGAACGCTGTATACATGGTATTCTTTGAAATTGATTGTTGTTATGTTAATTTATTAAAGTGAGGTGTGCGTAGTTCGTAGATTCGTTTGCTGCCTAAATTGTGCAATTCGTAGATGTTTTTTTAAGTTTAAACAGGATGCTGTTTACATGGTATTCTTGAAATTTATTGTTTTTATGTTTATTAAAGCGAGGTGTGCATAGTTTGTAGATTCGTTCGTTGCCTGGATTGTGCCATTCGTAGATGTTTTTAAGTTAAAACATATCGCTGTGTACATGGACTCTTGTCAAATAGTTTTGGTTAGAAACTTTACGGTTTTGCTTTCTAAAGTTTTTTTTTTTTTTTTTTTTTTCTGATTTTTAGCTTTAATTGTGTGTGCAAAATGTGGTTTTTGCATCCGCGAAAACCGTGTTTTTGGAGACATTTTAGGCTTAAAGTTCGAAATGTAGAAAAAAAATTTAGATAGCAATATGGCAGCATGGGGTTTCTTGCCAAACATTAAACGAGCATGGGGTTTCTCGTTTGGCGAGAAATTTGGCGACTTCAGGGCACATATCAGAATAGTTCCTCTAAAAATCATGCAGTCCAGATGTGTTATTAATTTTCTTAGAATACAGACAGATGAAATACCCAAATTGAAAATGAAGAATTAGAGACTATTTACCAAATTAAATTATAAAATTGATTTACATATTCCTCCCCTTCAAAGAGAAAAAAACTAGGCGACAGAAAAGAATGCTTTCAGAAGAAATCATTAAAGCATTAGCAAAACAAATGAAACATAATTGTTTAAAAAAAAACAAAATTTTGATCTAAAAATTTTTTTAAATAAAATGTTAAAGATATCATTTTTAATAATATATGCAAATTGAAATTTGAAAGTCTACAAGTTCATTTTTATGTGAAAATACGGTAGAGTGTCCTAATTTTTTTTCAAGAAATAACAGGAAAAGTTCAGAGTTTCGTAAAAATCTTTGTATGAATATCATAATCATATTTTGCAATCTTTAGCTTGAATGTCTTTCATAAAAATTGTTGTTTTCAATATAAAACCAAAATTTTCTTTTATAAATATTCATGAAATTTGTATATTTAACACTTCTAAAATAATCCACATTTTCTTAATTGTAAAGGAATAAAAAATGTAATTCAGATCTCAATAAACATAAAAAAGTAGCAAAATTCAGTATTTCAACAAAATAAACTGTGATAAAAAAACAAGCAAGTCCTCTACAATGCAAATGAGCATTATAACTTGCTGATAGCTGTGGGATGCTTAAATAAAATAGAACCTAAAAAACCTCCTTTCTTTAATAAAGGTAACTGGCTTCTAGTATTGTATGATTATCAAAGTTTGTATTTATAAACTATGGCCATAAAATCCTTCAAATTAGATAATTGAAAAAGAAAAAAAGACAAAAAAATTAAAATGTATGACATATAACTTGTATGTTCAAGTTAGGTCTTTTAAATTTTATAAATAAAATTCTACACTGCCTTACAATAATAATATGGACCATATAATCTTGAGAATATAAAATAAGAAAATTAATTTCATAATTATATCTGGAAAGAAGGCTTTTGAAACTTAAAATATAAAAATTTTTCAATACAACTATTAATTACATTACAAAATCACAAAAATTTTAAAATATTATAATGCAATTACTTTTTCATTTAAAACATCATCTGAAATAATATTACTAAAATAATGCTTTCTATTATCGACATTTCTAATTTACTTATTTTATACAAACTGGTCAACAATGACCAGTTCTCAAATGTGTCAAGAGAACTTCTTTCCTTCTATTTAATTTAGATGGCCAGCAGTAAATTAAAACTTTTAACATGTGAATTCATTAAATTTCAATCAAGATGCCTTAATAAACTTTCAAAATTCTAAGAAAAATCAAATCACTTTTATGTTATATGTTAATGGCTTCTTGATGATCATCATAAAATATTAATGAAATATCTCTTGAGGCTCAAAAGTTAGTCACCTTTAAATAATTAGCCCAAAGGACGGTACAAGGGCTATTAATTTCCTTTTGGCATTTTGTGTCGAAAACTTTAAATGTCTGTTTCCCTTTAAAAGTTATTGCCACCAAATATTATTGCCCTGTGCTATATTTAAAGAAATTAAATAATGAAGAATCTGCATAAATGTATGTATGTTTCTCACATTGTGGAAAATAGTGGTACCTAGAGACCTCAAATTTTGAATAAGTAGTCCTCCACTCAAATATGGGCATCTGGAAGCCTGATTTGTTTTATTAGCTATTTCAAATATTGCTGAATTTTTAATTAACAAACTTGACAACTTCAAACCGAGCAATGGCAACACAGTACAGAAAAAAAAAGGAAAAATATTATCTGCAATATGTGAGACTGCATATCGAAAATTTCAAAGATATGCACTTTTAAATATTTTGTGATATTGCTATTGAACTGAATTTTATGGTTTAAGTTCAAAGAACATGATATTTAATAAATAAAGGTAACACCGAAAATGGTTTAAAAAATGCCCCTTTGGGCATAATATAAAAACTGAAAGATTCCAGACTTTTTTTTTTTTTTTTTGAATGAATTTTGAAAATATTTTTTAACACTTTACGAAAATAATCTTCAAAATTATACATTTTCATTTTTTTTTCTTCCCTAAGAAATCTCTTAAACTTTTTTTAGAAAATAATCGGTACTTACGTATTATCGCAACCAGGTTGGCGCTATTTGTAAGTTTGAGTAAAAAAGTATGAATAGAAAGAAAATGTACATTTATTAATTAGAGATAATTTTTAATACAGTTTTTTATATTATTTTGTTTTAAAATATAAATAGCAATTAAACCCTTCCGGTTTTCGAATTTGAATAAGTTGCAGAATTATTTTTTCGGCGGAAATCTTTTGGCTATTGCTTTTAGCACTGATTGAAAACCGTATTCACCATAACCATGTACACGTCGACTTATTTTTACTTAAAAAAAACATCCCAGAATTGCACAAAAATGGCATTGCGCACACTCTTGACTTTATCCATGTACACTGCTATTTTCTCATAAATTACAAAAATTTGCACGAAAATGCAGGAAAATTTTGTGAATCTCCACATGCAATTTTTACAAAACTACGTATAACACGTAGGGTTGCCGTAAGTAGGGTCGCCAAATTTGGCAATTTATGCGAATTTTGGCCTGGTTGCGTTAATACGTAAGTACCAAATAATCTTTCTCTAGGAAAGTCAGTATCATTGAAACTAACAAAATTTAAAGGCATAAATTCTCTTAAGGAACTTTACACATCCCCACTTTTTTAAATTATTATAATTCATGTAGAATAATTTAAACTGAATTTTAAAATACTTCAGTTAACTCCGTTTAAAGAACAGTGTGTATAAATATTGGTAAGCAATATGAATAAAATCTAAAAAATATATGTATTGAATAGTATCTAGTTAATTTCTTAAATTATATGCTGAAATATAAGAAGTTTAGTTTCATAATATTTCCTCAGAATTATAGTATGCATTTCTATGCATTTTACGAATACAGTGAATAGATTTATTTATATTACATGGCCTAAATAATGAACTATATCCCCCTTAAAATTCGAAGATATAATTCAAAAATTTCTTATTTACATGAAAATCTGTTTTATATTTTTTGCTCAGTGTATTTTATAATCCTTAGCAAGTTTTTGAAGCATAGATGAGATATTCTGAAGTAAGTATTTAAATGTAGGAGGAATAGAAGACTGTGTTACTTAAACTATTTTCATGTAGTTAATATTTTGAATTTCTGATGGAATTTAAAGTTTCAATATAAATCAGTACTGTTCACATTTCATGCAGTGATTTGTGTTTTTTTTTCAGTAAGTACAGAAGGTAATGTTACATAATACTACAGTTTATAGGTTAATCTTTGGATTATGGTAACTTGGCAATATTTTGGTGAAAATTTGGCGACCAACCCTGCTACAGCAACCTACTAGTTTTTGTTTGGACGCCATTTTGTTTTGACAAAGTAAAAAAAATTTTTTTTTTTTTAACTCACATTTTTTGCTTAATCATGACAAAGATTAGGTGCGGAATTGGGAGAAAGTGCAGAATCGCAAACTGCTTGCCACGTTTTTTAAGAATTGCACATACACGGTATCAATGTACACGTCGACCTATTTTCACTTAAAAAAAATTCCCAGAATTGCACAAAAATAACATTGCGCACACTTTTGACTTTATCCACATACACTGCCAAGTAGTAATCTTTATCGCCTTATTAAAATGTTGCCAAACTACCTGTTACCATATTCCAAAGATTAGCCATTAATCTTATTTCTTCTGGCTGTTTACCAATTACAAGGTTTCCAAAAAACTATATTATGCAGAGGGATGCCACCAGCGGACTAAAGGAACTAGGCTAGTCCCCAAATATTTTATGTATTTATATTTCTCAAGTATGTTTTTATCTAGTATTCAAAAGCATTAAGAGAAACATCACTTTACTACTTTTAAAACTGGGTGTCATTTGAATGTAACAAGGTTTTTGGTGGGACAAGCTTGGATCTAATCAGCTTTTGGAAGGAGTAGCTTGCTTACCCCTCTTCACCTAAATGTCTATGGTATGCTATTAACTACTCTTGATAAGTCATAAGAAATTTTAATTTTCTTGTGATTTTTATGTGTGAAATTAACTTTTATAGTTAGTTCACCTGTATGAAAGTTTCTTACATTAAGTGAAACAATGTTAAACACACTCAATTAATGCAGTAATGCCAAGTTTGTAGTATGGAAAGGGAAGAGGTATGAAAAGCTAGTCTTACAGAAGAAATCACTGTGGAGTATGCCAAAGCAGTCTTTGACAGTTTTGTGATGACATGCTCATCAGCTGTCACTGTCACAACAATCCTGTAGTCTCAATTGTTTATCTACCATACTTTTGGGATAATATATTTTCAAAAGACACAAGCATGATAAAAGGTCAATCTATTCCACATGTTTTTATTTGCACAAGCATAAAATATTACACCTGTTATTCCTAAATAGAATATTATATATTTCAAAATGATTCACAATATACAAAATAAGCAGCGATCTGTTTTGATGGCCATGTGCTCTTTACGAGTTAAAATATTTTTGACTAATTATTTTTATGATCTCCAGCACATTAAAAAATTGTTTATTATGATAAGATCATTTTGACTGCCCCTTCATCCAATTTTCATGAATTCATTAGTTTTTAATCCTTACTGTGATCATTAGTCTTCAAATTATGCCATCAGCTCTCCTACTCAAAATATATTAAATCCTGTTATGATGAGCACCTTCTTAAGATAACCAGTTTTGAAAGTGATCAGTAGTTCTGTAAACATAAATACTAGTACTGTATTTCACCTCTCTATGACAACTATTCTTACGGTCATCTAGGAGAGACTTTAATTTTTCTTCATCCTAGTTCCCTTCACACTTTTTTTTTTATTTTACTATGTGAAAAAAGAAAACTTACAATTTAAATAAACTAATTTATAAACACGATAAAAAAAAAGAAAAATTACAAGAATATTTTATTTTCATTATTTCGGCAAATTTACTAATATATTTTGGAAGATTAATTTTTTTTTTTTTTTTGGAAGGTAAGTGGCTCAAAGTTCTAGCACCCATTTCCCTAATAATAATACCCATTTCCCTACTATATTTCAAGAATTGTATTATTAAAATGAAGAATCTGTAGATCCATAAAAGATACGTTAACTAGCTAATTTTATATGTCTCATTCATCCACAAAAACATAACAATCATTCGAGCTTCTTGTTTACATATCTAAGTTTCTAAACAGAAAGAATTCGTAAAAAAAAAAATTAAGCATGCAATTACGGAAAAAAGAAGAAAAAGATAATTTATATGTAATAGTAATTCATGAAATTTTGTCAGAATTAATATAATTAGATAATGAGCAGCCTGAACATACACACATATTTTTAAAACAACACCTGCACAGATATACACATAAGTCCGCAAATGCACAATTAATTACTTTCCTTTGAAGGTGCACTTCATAATTTTGTATGTAATATACAACTTACAATTCGACAAACTAAAACTTAAGTACTGAAAACATTCATAACTTACTTCAACAATTTCGTCATTGTTAATGCCATTGTAAGCTTTAATGCTTATTAAGCAGTAATAATTTTCACCATTTACATAAACCTAACTACAACTAACGACTACCTAATATTTTACTACGTTTTGCTCAGATTAACTTTACTTCACAACTCTCAGACTACACCTTGATTTCTATCTACAAGGTCGGCGTGCATATGTTTATAAACTTTGCAAGTAACACCGCACTCTGGCGGTAGAATTGATAAAAATTCAAATATTTACCTCTACATTAGTAAAATATATGTTACTAATATTAATGTAAAGTTATTATAAATGCCAACATTATATATATTTAATATATATTATAAACGTATTCGTAGATTACAAAATATTTACATAATTAAAATAATTAAAGTAATGAGATAACTGAATTACGTGAGTCCTGTTACGGTGGGCACACAATATACGAATTATATACAGGCTGAATCATCAGGCATTCGCTATCCCAAGTGGGAGATTAAATGGCGGCTGTGTAGTTACGGTGCAACAATTTTTTGTTTTTTTTTTTTTTTTTTGTGTAAAATGGGCGGATGTGCAGCTATTAATTGTTCAAATCATTCACGGAAAGGGCATACATTGGTAAAATTTCCTAAAAATGAAGAAAGAAGAAGAAAATATGGGTAAATAATTGCCGAAGAGACAATTGGAAACCTGGTCCAAGCGCTGAAATTTGCTTAGTAAGTATAATGTTAATTACGCCTTGATTTAGAGTTTATATCTTCTCTGATGTTTATAATGTGTAAGTAAAGTGAAATTCTTGTGTACAATAACCTAAGTATCTGCTAATTTCTGTAATAATAGCTATAATTAAATTAGTCTAGGGTTAATGTACCCGTCGCCAAACATCGCCAATGTGGATGTTTTGAATGTGGAAAAGAAATTTCTCTTCTAATATAAAGCGCAAATTTTGTTTTCCTGTGCTAATTGTGGAAATTATACTAATGTAACATGAAAATCATTAGCATATTGAAATTTATTAAAAAACAAATCATAATTTGGAAAGTCAAGATAAAATCTGAATGTTTGCTAAAGATATATGTAACATTATACTATAGTTGCAATATCGTTGGAATGATATATAATTTTTTTCTTTATTTTATAATCACTATTGTTAAAAAGTTAGATGAGTTTTTATGCACGGTGCCCACTAATGTTTCTTGGTTAAAATAACTTCCAGAATTTTGACATTGACATCTGAAGTCAATAGAATAAATTGAATAGTATGAGACAAAATATATATAATCTGACTTCAATAATTGCAAGTACCATATATTTATAATCACAGTATTATACAATTTGGCAATGGAGTAAAGATTTAGAAATGAATGCAGAACATTCAAATAAGCACAGAAAACTTGTGAAACTGCATGTGTATTTTTCAAAAATAATTGTAGTGTTTTTAATGCATGTGTAGTGTTTAATGCATGCATAACAATCAAATAAATCTGCCTATAATGATGAATTTCAAAGGCCAAGCCAAAATCCTTTCATGAATTTGATACTTCTAAAGAATGTGATCTCGTCAAATTAAATCCTCATGACATTGATAAACAGTTATTACTGATATGTGTTACAAAGCAGATTTTTATACATGATAAATAATATTTTCTGAAGCGTTATTTTGTGTTGTCATCTCTAAATAAGAAATTGCCTACAAATTCAGAAAGCTACTGAACTACGTTCTAGAGTTTTTAATAACTTTAATTGGATATGTCTGTGGGGATGTATGTAATTTAAAAAATTGTCGTTTAAACTGGCCTTGATGCTTTTTAAAATGCATGTTGGCACTGTGCTTCGAAATTAGGCCTATGTTTTGAATGATTAGAGAATTAAAAATTAAATATTTCAATTAAAGCAATAAACATTACTACAATTATAACAAGAATCATAGTCTGCTCTAATTATAAATGTATTTATCGGCCTAGTATCTTAAAAGTTGGGTGAAGTGAACTCATATTTTCTTATCTATTGTAAGAGCACTATAGCAAGAAATATAAAGTTTTATTTTAGTTGTTTTTTAATTTTATAGCAAAACACTACTTCATTTAATTTTTGGATAATGTTCTAAAGAACACTTTAAATTATAGGCAAAAAATAAATATTGGATAATTAAATTCTGCCCAAGCTTACAAGATGCTGCTGCTGATATGTTAGACATGGTTTGTTTATTGTTTCAGTTTTTTATAATACTGGGCCTAATTTAATTACCTGCATATTTATTTATTGCCTATACTTACTTACAGTTCATGCTTGCTGCCTTTGGCACAACCTCACTGTGTGAAACACTTTTCTCACATTTCTTTCGTGTGGTTTGTTTTTTGTACTTTTATTTATTTTGTATACTTTTTTTATTACTTTATGTATTTACAGGATCATTTTGAGGAATCTCAATTTGAGTCACTATGCAAAGATAGTTAAAAACTAAGAAAAACTGCAGTACCAACACTCTTTAGCATTCCAAATCCACCACCATCTGTAACTGACAAGAGGATAAGAGAAGTAAGATGTCCTAAGCCAAATACTGAAGTGGTAAATTATTTAATATTCTCCAAAAAAATTGTTGAAAAAATCATTGTTATTACAAATATATTAATTCAGTCAACCATTGTTTAAAAAAATAATCACAGCATAACATGTTTACTATTTCTTTTTGAATTTAGGAAACTCTACCTGCTTCAAATGAAGAGTTGTTAAAAAAAATAGAATTCCTTGAGCAACAGCTTCAAGAAAAAGATGCAAAATTGACATCATTTTTGTCCGATGAGCAAGTAGGAACCCTTGCTGTGCAGTCAAAAAGGAACTGGTCAGAAAAGTCCATTATAAAAGGACTGAAGATGCGATTTGCTTTGAGGCAAACATGGATATAATTACCTCAGAAGTACTGGATATCCAGCACCATCGTACAGTACCTTGAACAGGAGGATTAGGGACATAAAAATTAAATTTCGGCATTTTAGAAAATTTGTTTTTTTTTCCTCAAGACAAAAGTTCATTCATTGGATGCTCTTGATAGGAACTGCTGCCTTTTAGTTGACGAAATGGAAATAGCTTCATATCAAGATTTTGATACATCGTCTAAGTCATTCATTGGAAATGTTACGTTAGGAAGCTAAGCATTACACTATTGTAATGCTTAGAGGCCTTAAAACATCATGGAAACAGATTGTTGCCAATGAATTAACAGGGCCTTCAACATCAGGTTCTGACATGAAAGATCTAATTCATAGAACTGTAGTAGCAGCTACAGAAATAGGTTTAACTGTAAGAGCCTCTGTTTCAGATATGGGAAGCAATAACAGAGCAATGTGGTCGTCATTGGATGTGTCTGTCTCTAGGAGAGATAGGAAGACAAATTACAACATTGGAGGACCTGATGTTTTCATTCACAGTATTGCAGATGTACCACATCTCATTAAAAATATGAGAAATACATTTCTTTCAAGTATTATAATATTACCAGAGGAATTTCGCCAGCCAGCATGCCTTGCCATCGAGGATAGTATCTTCAGTGTATGTGAAACGACTCTGGTCAAGTGAGATAGAAGCAGATGCTGCCCTGAGATCTCTACATCACTTGAACAGAGTTCATCTCTTCCCAACACACTTTTCCTCGATGAATGGGGGCATCTGCTGTGCAATTGTTTTCTGTAAAAACAGCTGCTGCTATTGAAAAAGCAGGTTATTTTACACCAAGTTGCAAAAGAAGCATTAACTTCTGCATGGTGGCTGAGACTTGTAGCAGAATGGTTTACAATTATGACTACAAGGCATCCAAAAAAAGGCATCACTATCAAAAATCAAGATGAGAAATTTAATATTTTATTGAAATTCATTCATGTGACTGAAACTGTTCAGTTTGGGAAAGCATGGAAGCCATTTCAAACTGGCATTATTATGAGCACATTGAGTGTTGTGAAACTCTCAAAAGAATTATTTTCCGAGGGGTTTACATTTTTCTTACCAGGCAGGTTGACACAAGATGCGCTGGAAAATGCCTTTTCACAGATTAGACGAAAGTTGGGTGCAAAGCCTACTGCTTTGCAAGCCAAGAGAGCACTGAAATTAGTGTGCCTATCACAGTTCATTTCAGATATCAATAATCCAAATTATTGTTCTGAAAGTGACCACAGCCTCTTTGATGCTTCTGAATTAGAGGTTGCTATCAGAAAGGAGGTCTTGCATCCTATCTCCAATTCTGTAGTGCCATCTACCTCTTCTGCAGTGGCAGTGAAACGTCGCTTGCCCCCAGCTGTGGAAGAAAATGATATACATTACATCGCAGGAGCCATATATAATAAGTTGTTGAAAAAAAAAAAAGCATATGTGAAAATTGTAAAACAGCTATGACCATTTCAGAGGACATGCTGGAACCTGACATACCCGAGCATCGCACAATTCTTACAAAACATAGCAATAAAGGTGGACTGAAGGTCATCTCTTCAGGAATGTATCAAATATGTAGGGAAGCTGAACGAGAATTTCAAAAATGTAAAGATGTACTCCTTCGTTTACAATCAGCCATCACAAAAGAATTAGTTGAAAGAATAATTGATAAATGTACGCATGTGGCCATGCCAGAATGCTGTAATCTTAAGAAAGTAATTATTGATAATTTTTTTATTACTAGATGCAAAGGCCTTACACAGCATCTTATCAACAAAAGAGCCCATAACGTTTCATATTCATCAGCATCGGCCAATAAGAAACAAAAAGTAAAATAATTTTAGAAGGTATGTATGTTTTATATTAAATAATTTATGTGTTTTATGTAATATGTATTACTTTTTCCTAGGCTACGAGTATATAAATTTCTGTGTTTGATGTTATATATGTTACTTTCTGCTAGGCTATGAGTATATTATTATGGTATTATTTTCTTGTTTCTAATATATAGAAATATAGCATATTTTCCAGTATAAAATTTCAGTTCAGTTTTACTTAAAAGTATGGGAAAGCAGATTTGTTTCATGCATGATCTTTATAATACTGGTATGAAATGAATGAATTTTAATCTGTAAACAATTTTTTGTTAATATTGAAATGTGTTTCCTTGGGTACATTTTTAGGCACTTGTGGATCATGTCAGACAACATGCAATAGAAAAAAGATGTCCGTGTGCATAAAT